TAATATATATATATATATATATGGTGTGCTTATAACGAAAAGATCCGACAACGCTCGATACAAGCAGAATAACACACTGACTGAAAACAACTAAAATAGAATACCAATGTATCGAACATGCAAACTCACCACATACAGCACATTTGTGCGTGCTTGAGAAAGAGCTTTGTTCTGCGATTGCTCCGTTGCCGTATCAAACCGTTGCGTTAACAGAACCATCAGCGTACGAGGATCAGCCAATGAGTCCAATGCATGGAGCAACGCTCCTGTTGCTGTGAAAGGTTCGGTACACATTGGTGTATGTAGGTAGGAATATGATAAGCCTACAGCACTGCAACATCCCTCCGAGAACACGTTGCTGTGTGAAGATTGTTACACATCATGTATCTAGGAATATGATATGTCTGAATCAATACAACAACGTACAACAAAGATTCTGTTGCTGTGTGAAGCTCGGTACATATTAGTGCGTATAGGCGGGAATAGGAACAGCCTAAGGTACTACAACAACATGCAATCAAGATCCTGTTGCTGTGTTGATATGCACAACTAGAATTACGTCTGAACCACTACATCATACAATACAGATAATCCTATTGCTGTGGAAAGTTCGGTATACACTCATGTGTGCAACTAGGGGCATCCTAAAGCACCAACGTATGAGAACGAGATCGTGTATCGTGTGAAGGTTATGTCCACAGAATGCAACACTACATCTGCAATCTCCTGTGGTAGTAGATGCGTACTTGTACATGCAGGTAGAAACCATGTACATGTAGGTAGGCATGTACATGTAGGTAGGCATGTACATGTAGGTAGAAACCATGTTCATGTAGGTAGGCATGTACATGTAGGTAGGCATGGACATGTAGGTAGGCATGGACATGTAGGTAGGCATGGACATGTAGGTAGGCATGTACATGTAGGTAGGCATGTACATGTAGGTAGAAACCATGTACATGTAGGTAGAAGCCATGCCTAATGCAAGCAACTGAACTTTCAGGATACGCCATTTCATCTTTTACGCGTGTATTAATAAAAAATAGAATTGTACAAAAATAATATTTTGATGATTCTGTTGGTGTAGAAAGTTCGGTACGTAATGAGTACCTAGGAATACGAATAGCTGATCCCTAAACCCCAAAACCTTTAACCCTGCTAATGTTCCTGATACCTCGAGAGGCTTAGTCTAAGTGTCACAGCAACTGTGTCTGCAAAAGTATAGTCATAGGCATTGCAGGTGTTGGTATACATTCTGAGACGACCCTGAAACCCAAAACTCGGAACCCTAAACCCTAAAAATATAGTCGTAGGCACGGCAGGTGTGTATATACCATTTGCATAGCCTCCTAAAACAATGACGTTTTGAGGCGGCACTAAACTCTCAACTCTAAACCCTAAACCTTAAAAGTATAACCGTAGGCATCGTAAGTGTGCATATACCTGCTGAGATCGCACTAATCCCCAACCCCTAACATCGGATACTAAACCTATGGTCGTAGTAGCTGTGTATATACATGTATATACACAATAGTGTATATACATGTACATACACGATAGTGTATACACATATATATACACGATAGTGTATATACATGTTGAGATGGCAACGTGGCCACCGCCGCAGTAGACCATATCTTAACAAGACCTGATTTGAACTGGTGCCTGTGCACTACACGCACAGTCACCCCCACAGCAACTACCTACACAACTACCATACACAACACCACATATACGCTCAAAAACCTAAACTCTCATACGCTCCAAAACCCTAAACCCTAAACCCTAACCACCACATACAGGCCACGTTCTGATGGGATGTTAGCCACATCACTAGTGCTGGGAAGGTGGCGCCCTGCAGCTCCGGTGCTCGGATCAGCTGCGACTGCGGCGGTGAGGAGATGTTCGGTACTTCTAGGGACTTTGTCTCGGCTGGGATTGGTTCAGGTGTTTCCCACGTCAGCGCTATCTCGGCCGTTGAATGGAAGATGTTCTGTTCCACGGGATGGGTCCATTGTATATATAATTATATATAACATAACATAGTTAATTATATAACATAACATAGTTTAAAATATATAACATAACAGGTCATTATATATAACATAACATAGTTAGTCGGTACATGTAGCAGAATGGCACGTGATCTGTGTAGGGTTTTTAGGGTTTAGCGTTTGCACAGGTGCTGCCCTAGTCAGCGCTATCTCAGCCATTGAATGGAAGATGTTCTGTTCCATGGGGTAGTGTCAGTCGTATATGACACAGTTAGTTGGTATATGTAACAGAATGACGCGTGATTTGTGTAGGGTACTAGTGTTTAGGGTTTTGGGGTTTTGGGGTTTAAAACATACAGTGGTTTATTGCTGAGAATGTGCTTAGGAGATATCCGAGATATCCGATAAAGCGAAACAATTACGAATCCAATAGGCTATATTTACCCTATCTCTGCCCTATTCTACTTTTGCCCTACCTTTGCCCTATTTTATATTTGCCTTATCTTTGCCATTCTATATTTGCCCCATCTTTACCCTATATTTGCCCTATAATTGCCGAATTCTATACATGCCCTATATTTGCCCTATTCTATATTTGGCCTTTTCTATATTTGGCCTTTTCTATATTTGGCTTATATTTGCCCTATATTTGCCGAATTCTATATTTGACCTATTCTATATTTCCCTATATTTGCCCTATATCTGCCAAATTCAATATTTGCCCTATCTTTGCCCTATATTTGCCAAATTCTATACTTGCCCTATATTTGCCCTATTCATTTGCCCTATTCTATATTTGCCCTATTGTAGTCCTTCAATTCAGTGTGAAGTCTGCGGAAGGTGAGGGGTGCAACTGTAGCACACGTCAAGCCACTCAATTGCAACCCCCAACATTGTTTATATACATTGAACTATAACAGACATAAACCTAGATAGGCGTACAACCACCTCACTTAGCAAACACAGAAGTATTCAAAGGTACATTTACCTGAACCATAACAGATATAAACCTAGATAGGCGTACATTTACCTGAGACAGCAAACACAAAAGTATCCATAGGTACATTTACCTGGTCCATAACAGATATAAATCTAGATAGGCGTACAATCACCTCACTTAGCAAACACAAAAGTATTCATAGGTATATTTATCTGAACCATACAGTTATAAACCTAGATAGGCGTACAACCACCACACTTAGCAAACACAAAAGTATTCATAGGTACATTTACCTGAACCATAACAGATATAAACCTAGATAGGCGTACAATCACCTGACTTAGCAAACACAAAAGTATTCATAGGTACATTTACCTTTGCATTCACTAACTCGTCGTAGTTCCATTTGGCAGTCGCAGTCGCTCCTTGCGCCTGGGCCAGAGACGTTTTCCTCTTTAATTGTCCATGCTTGTGTTTCGAGTCTGTTGGTTGTGTTGCATCTGTGTCATTCGATTTGTCTGTGTCTTCTGTGTCACTGTCCGCGTCACTCTCTCCTTCGTCGTCGTAAGTTGCATGGCTGAAAACGTACACAACAAACCCTTTGAATATCAGTACCCTTAAATACATAAATACTACACAACAAACCCTTTGGATATAAGTATTCATAAATACGTAAACTACTAAACAACAAAACCCAGTTGGCAGACCTTTTGGGGCATTTTAAGTTTTATGGTTTAGGGTTTTTATACAGGCTCATACTGACTGCTCGATACTCTGAACGTACGCCATACCCGAGTATGATCTCGTCCTTGCGGGTAGTACAATAGAGCATACTCATACATATTTATGTATCAGTATAATAACACTCAGTACAAACGCAATACAGTACAATAGGACCATACTCGCACGCACTTATATATCAGTGGAACAACACTCAGTACAAACACAATACAGTACACCCAAGACATTAATACGCACTTATGTGTCAATATAAACACAATCAGTACACAACGAACACTACACGACTAACATACTCATGCTCACTTATGTATCTGTATTAACACGCAATATAGGAAGAACACTATACAACTAACGTACTCATCCTCACTTACATGCCAATATAAACACATTCAGTACACAATAACACTAACATACTCATGCTAACTTGTGTGTCAATATAAACACAATCAGTACACAACAACAACATACCCAAGCTCATTTACATGCCAATATAAACACATTCAGTACACAATAACGCTAACATACTCATGCTCACTTGTGTGTCAATATAAACACATTCAGTACACAATAACACTAACGTACTCATGCTCATTTACGTGCCAATATAAACACATTCAGTACACAATATCACCAACATACTCATGCTCACTTGTGTGTCAATATAAGCACATTCAGTACACAATAAGACTAACATACTCTTGCTTACTTACGTGCCTATATAAACACAATCAGTACACAACAACAACATACCCATGCTCATTTACGTGCCAATATAAACACATTCAGTACACAATAAGACTAACATACTCATGCTCACTTGTGTGTCAATATAAACACATTCAGTACATAATGAACACGATACGACTAACATACCCATGCCCACTTCTGTCGGCGTAAACTAGGATCAGTATCGCAGCGTACGCCCTTTCAGCCGTATCCTGCACAAACGTCACGGCTGTGAGTGCGTCGGTTATGACGAGCAGTTTGGTACCTACGAGCGAAAGTAGGGACTCTCCGTGTAAACAGCGTACGAAGGAGGGACTGTATAGAAAGGCATTGGTGGTGGTGAATGAATTGTAAATGGTACGGATATGTTTATGTGACCTTATACTCGCCCGAATGTGAATAGCGTATTTGTAGTGTATAGTCAATATAGTAAGAGACTTTTAGATTGTAAGTAAGGTATAGGAAGTGGTAATGATACGATTCAGAGTATGTGATCTTATACTAAATCACATGTAAATAGCGTATGTGTAGTTAATAAAGTCAGCATAGCAAGGAACTAGTGCTCGTAAATAAGTTGTATATGTGTCATCGGAAGTGGTAATTGTACGTTTATGTGTATGTGATCTTATACTTTCCCACATATAGACAGCCTATGAAGGAGATATGCTGTGTGGTACATAGTGGGCTGACCTACAAACGTAGTCCAATAAACAAACCTGCACGCGATACAACTGACGAGTGCGGGTACACATATGTGGTCTCTGATGTTTTAAAGTACGACAACCCTGTATCTCCGATATAACATTGCTTGTGGGTGTAGTATGTGGTCTCTGATGTTTTAAAGTACGATAAAGCTGTACTTCCATATACCATTGCTTGCGGGTGTAGTATGTGGTCTCTGATATTTTAAAGTACGATAAACCTGTATCTCTGGTTGTATTTTGTATTTCCGATATAAATTACGCTGTACCATACACAAACGCACAGCACCCGTGCCAATGCAAGTGACGTGGGTGTGAAACATCAGATATAATCTGCCGCTAATTCAAATAAAGGTGAATACGAGTCTAAGTAGTATAAAGGTTCGGTTATAAATAGGACATCCATTCAAATCTGTGATACAAATATGTACGGAATGCCCATGGTATCCAGAGTCTCCAGACGTTAGAATACACTCCAGAGATATAACACACAGTATAACCCTAACCTTTCACACCATAGGGCACACATACAAATAAAACACTCAGGGTATCTACATATCACTAACTAACGCCAGCTACAGCACACAACACACACATAGCTACAACCATCAGTATTGGTGGACGCCTTTTCTAAACTCTATATACAACGAGTAGACAACCAGACAACAATATCAGTAGAAGATTAAACCCATACAATCAGGGGGCTCTATCACGGCTCTACCAAGCCAGCTATATACGACGGAGACAACCAGACACTATCGGTAGAAGATTAGAACCACAAAATCAGGGCTCTATCACGGCTCTACCAAGCGATCTATATACCACGGTTAGACAACCAGACACTATCGGTAGAAGATTAGACCCATACAATCAGGGCTCTATCACGGCTCTACCAAGCCATCTTTATATCACGGTTAGACAACCAGACACTATCGGTAGAAGATTAGTCCCATACAATCAGGGCACTATCACGGCTCTACCAAGCCATCTACGCCATGAGATCAATGCTACCATAACCCTACACTCAACACAACAGACAGGTGTGCTTCAACTCGTACCGAACTTTCAACGCGTGTGGGATCTCCAGGCGGCAATCCACACACAACTGAATAGAGGCCAGCAGAGCCGCGGTCAGGTGCAACGAGTGCGACTGCGTGCGTTCCAGCAGTGACCTGCTGCAGTAATATGACAGACGAGGGATGTTAAGCGGGATTAAACCGGTATCAAGTAAAAACCCTACGCACAGCTGTGGGTGACGGTATTAGTGTCAGGTACTACAGGTACACTTGTAATTAGTATTAAACCGGGATTAAACCGGTATCAGGTAAAAACCCAAAGCACAACTGAAGGCGACGGTATTAGTGTCAGGTGCTACAGGTACACTTGTAATAAGTATTAAAGCGGGATTAAAACGGTATCATGATGTTATTAAAGCACAGCCGTGGGTGACGGTATTAGTTTGAGGTGCTACAGGTACACTTGTGAATGTCTGTAGACGTTCACATATGAATGTGTCCTCTCAGACCGACGCGCAATGGCGGGATGCTGCACGCAATTCTAAATGCATTGATTATAGAACGCCGGCAACCTTAAACCCTAAACCTATAGAAACCTTTAAATCATGGAAGGTTATAAGATGTAACACAACTACAGTACACGACAGGGGATTCAAATGAACACACACGCTGTCGTTAACCTTAAACCTGTCGCATACACAATCGATAAGTATACTAAATAGATGTCACAACAAACACACTTGAAATGACCTTAAAGTTGTCCGTAGACGTTGGCGAGAATGCGATGAAAGGCTTTGAGAGACTTCTCATACAAATTGCGATACTGTATTGATGTAATATGAATTCATATAACATATATTCAATATTCGTCGATATGATATCAACAATATGTATATAGATGCGTCTCATACGGATTGGTATAACATATCACCATTCTTTCTCGCGCATCGCTTACATGCGCAAGTTAAGATATACATCTAAGTACGTTTATATACATGTTTATACAAGTTTGTTCGCAAACACATACACACACACATATATATATATATATATATGTATGTATATGTATATAT